TGAGATCCGTTGTTTCAGGACGTCTTATACATTATTGTTGTTCAGTGCAGCCAACACAAAAGTAGCAAGCGTGTGATGCAAACGATAAATGAACTCCGTTACCAACTGTGATGAGTATCACCACCGCCACCACACGTAGCCAACACCGATATCACGTGAGACCCATCTGTAGGGTGCGCCTGGCCAGGGGGCTTGGTGGGAGAGAGAGAGCGACTCACAATCAGAAGGTTGCGAGTTAAAATCCTGCTTCGGGAGATGACACATCATCCCTACCTCCTTTAAGGGTTGATAAAAATGATCACCACTTTGTGGGGAATTCAACAATGATTGTGCTGTGTTTTTCCTTGGCCCGCGCATATCAATTCGGAATTTCCTCCACTGGCTCAGTGGCTTTTATCAGGAGATGAGCGTATTCTCAATTGCTTATATGGGCAGGAAATCACTTTGACTCGTCTCTCTGTGGGGGGGGGGGGGATGTGAGTGACAGGCACAGGAAGGCGGAGACGCGGGAAGTTTACAGCGGGGGGTTAACAGCCTCTCTTACCCGCGCACCCGGAGTGCCGCGGTGTCACAGGGCCCACTCCTACGGGAGCCGGCGATGGCCCAGCCTCATAGTGACCCCCGTGGCCCCCTGTCGGGCCGTCCCAAGGCCGTGTGAACAAGGCGACGTTTGGCCTGGACTTTCAGGGGACAGTTACCAAGGCTGTTGGATTTATTTATTGGAAGAAACAAAATTTGTCACCATCAAAATCCCTTGAGGTAGAACATCTCGTCTGCAAGGGGTGCCAGGTGTCATCTGTGGGCCCATGGAGTGTAAATGGCGGTGGGTGAAGTAGCCCCTTAACGGCAGGAGGGAGCCGCTCTCATATTGTCCTGGACTGAAGCCCAGAATAGCCTGGGACCATGCCTAGTAATTCTTGAATGCATGCTAATTAACCTCCTTCTGATATACTCTGCGGCTAAGGGTTGTGGTGCATTATTAACCTTATTTTCCATTCTCATAGATACAAAGTGGTGCTCATTTTGTTGACTCTCTCGAGGGATGATAGGTTGAGTCAATCCCCCAAACCAGGATTTGAACTCGCAACCTTCGCACTGAAAGCCGCCCGCTCTAAAACCCTCTACCGCTGCAAAAAAAACATCGCGCTGTCTTTTTGTTCTAGGCTACATGCAGATTGAGACCGTAGGGCAAGCTCAGGGCTCAATAACAGGAGGGCACGTAAAAGGCACAGCCCTGATCCCTGACCTATGCTGCTCATGTGTCAACCTGCTGTATTTTATTCCGTCTGTTGTTGCAATTGTCGTTCTTCCATTTCCCGTTGTTGCTATCCGGCAAAAACTGTTGTATTTATGCATGTCGGTGGACTTCTTTCGCACCGTTCGTCACCAAACCGTGCTAACCGGAGGTCCTGGTGGTGCAGCGGTTATTGCGCTATGAATCCGGCGACCCGATAATTCAATTTGACGCTCACGGCCACCGACTCCGCTGACGTTAGCGGGTCCGCCCAGCTCTAAGTCCTCCCATTTGACCTGAGCGAACCATCTCCTCTCTGGTCCAAGCTCTTTCAGTTTATCCTCCCTGTGCGTGCGTTTGGGCGGCCATGCGGGGCTCCTGGAGGCAGCCAACGGCATCCTCCTCGCACACTCGACGAGCCCGCCGTCTAAACCTTGTCGAGAAGTTTCTGACTTTTAACACAACCAATCATAGATATCCATTGCAATTTATATGACTACATTGACCCCCCCCCCCCCCTCTAGGCTTCGCACTTGATTGGCTCATAGTGATAACATCACAATTACCCCTCTATTTAAGACTGACACAGGAGGAGGATTTCTCCACAATTCTGGCTGTCACCTGATGATGCTGGTTGTTGTAATTACCGGCGAAATGGCACGGTACTCGAATTGTAAAGGTTGAGGGTTTACTCTCTAACACACAACCGGTGAGTGCTGGACTAGTAACTAATTGGAAAGTTTGATTTACGCGACAGACCTCGCTGATTGGCCATGTCGGGTGGTGGCGGGTTTAACGACACACATTTACATTCACGCGGTCTAACCCAACGAAAAAAAAAGAGAATCCCCCCCCCCCCCCCCCATCATGGTTCCTTTTCCGATGTCTGCGAACCTCCTCGCACAAATCCAGTTCGGGTGAACCCAGCGGGCTCTTTGGAGCGGACCCAGCGGGCGTTCGGTGGAGCCGCGGTCGCGTGCCCGCGAGTGACACCGGCCGCTTGCGGGGAGCCTCCAGACACAACAGGCGATTGCCACACGCGCGGCGGCTCAACTCTCATTCGCTCTGCCAGCTTGGCGATCGCCTGCACGTTGCCACAGTTGAAGAAGATGTTTAATGTGCACAAGTGTACCTTGTGCATGCACAGCGAGGGCTTTGTACACTGTTTATGTATCCATTACAAGGCTCTGGCTGGGCATAGCTGCGTGTGTGGCTCCACATCCCGAGTCAACACACATCACTCCGAGTATCTAGGACCAATGCAGGCAAATACTCACATGAGCGACGTTGCGAAACGGGAGCTTTTCTTGTTTTCGTACTTCCTTAACCACTGAATTCCTTCTCAGTCTGCACCTCCAACCATGCTACTCTCCAGCTCTCTCCCCACACTCCATCAACCATTCTCTGTCCAGTGTTCAATGAAGGCCTTCGGATGTTGCTGCTGCTGCCGCCTTCCCTGTGGCACCTCGCCACGGTGCGCAACTTAACCCCTCCACCTGCACGGTAGCAGTCTTGCCACACGCGTACTTTCACTCCTTTGAGCAAAAACGAAACTTGTACAATCAACAAAGTAAGATCATAGTTTGGAGAATATCTCCGGCAAATCGTGCAGCGCAACACGTTGCGGCGGTCCCTGGAAGCGGACCGTCATCAGAGCGGTGGAACAGGCACAGCGAGAGCCGCTTATGAGCCCCTCCGGAAACTGAACCCGGTGGCGAAGAGTCGTGAAGAAGGCCGTTGTCTAAGCACGGCGCATCGGCTTCTGCGACGTTCGGATCATAAACGTGGACACTGGCAAGGAAAAAGTTGGTGGAAATGTTTTTGCAAAGAAGCGAGGAGATGGCTGCAGAGTTACACAGAAAAAGGCAGGGAGCGGGACACACGGAGCAAACTTCACACGCGCGCGCGCTCAGAGACGTTGTTGGCTCTTAGGGAAAGCGCGTTGAGTTTGGGCAGTGTCGATGGGAGGAATGATGGCCGATGGATAAGACCGACGGCGGAATGGCAGGCAAAGGAGGGAATGCACCACGAGAGGACGACCACTGGGAACACGAAGCGGCGGGATCAGCGCATGTACAGCAGCGTGCGGAGGGGGTGCGGGGAGAATAGCAGGGGAATCATCCAGCAGTGGATTGATCAGGGCTGACGATCGTGACGGTGAGCGTGCAGCGGCAGGTTGCGTGTGCGGTGACGGATACGGGTGAGCGTTATCGCGCTGCGCACGCTTCCTCACCCACACACCCCGGGCAGGCTCTGCCAATCAATGAGAGCCCCGCAGCCAATGTACACATTGGGTCAGGCCATGACGGGCGGCAGCGGCAGGAACGTTCTGCATTGTGTTCTGACAATGGGTTGCGCGCGCGTTCAAGGTACCGTGCCACCGGTCCGCACATTGTTCGAGTCGCGTTTCCCTCTCGTCCAGTTACGCAGCATTCCCTAATTGTTGTGATTTTAGCAGCTGACAGGGTGATGCTGAAACCCGTGAGCGCACACATTCAGATAGCTTCATTATAGGCGTGCGCGCGCGCGTGTGCGTGTGTGTGTGCTGTAAAGCGATTGCTATTCATGAGATAAACCAATATGCCTGGCAGCTATATACTTATTTGCAGCTTGAACACAACAACAGGAGAGAGTGGAGGGTCCGTGGAGAGGCGGTTAAATCACAATAGCCTCTCTTTTAGTGCTATCGGAGGAGCCCCGTGCCTCGGCCGGATCAATGTGCACCTGGAGTCCTCCGCGTGCACTTTAAAGCTCAGCGATGTTTCCAGCGAGCTGGCAAGCGCTGAAACTCGCCAGTCACAAGTAGCCCCGAAAAAACCCCGACCTCCACGCGGCCTATCACTTGTGATGGCCAGGTCGCGTGTGCAAAACACACAAGCGAATAACTCAGTGGGCTTTGTCTGCTAGGGTGGGGATGGTTTCGTGTTGTATCTGTTTGTGTTTGGGTGGTTTGTTTACCTTGCTTATACTTTACACTACATTCGTGTTCTTGTTGTTGTGCTGTTTGTTGTTGTAACGTTTTTACCCGCCCAGACTGGACATCTGTGAAAAAGAGCTTTGTAGCTCATCGGATTCCTCCAGTATAAATAAATATTCTAATTCTGATTCTGACCTGTCGCGATATTTCCCCGGGAATGGAGAAGCTTGCAGCGAAGGTGACGTGGGGCTGTACTGCCTCGTGCGGAATCCTCCCAGGAGTTGTGGACTTGATGCATCCTCGTACTCGTGAAATTATCACCCTGAGTCAATTTCAATGGTTGACTTCATTTTACCACCTTCTCTTAGCTTAACCACTGTCATGTTTACGTACTTTTGTGTGGTATTTTTGTAATTATTCTGTCACGCTGTTGTTTAAATAATTTTTTGTTGCCCTGAATGTTTTTGGGTTATTTGGTTTGTTTCTGCTCTGATTTCTCTTTGCTTCATCACTTTGCCTTTGATGACATCGATTTTGTCTTTTGTGGTGACTCGTTGACCGCTCGTACGCGTGAGACTCCTCCTCTAATCCTGGCCTCTTGAGCTGTCACCTGGTTCAACGTAAACTTTTTATTTTTAAACATGCAGGGTATGTTTCCGCCCGCGGTAATTGCCTGCGACGGGGCGCTACTGTGCACGTAAACTGGAGTTGGGGGGGGGGGTGGTGTGGGTAGGGGACCCCGGTGCGGGGCCGGTAATTGGGATTGAACGCGCTGCTGTACGGCTGAAGGATTATTGCGACGCGCGCCTGAGTGGATTTGTTTGCGGGCGGTTTGTGCGGCTGCCGCAGAGCGGGAGCGACTCGCCACCGAAGAGCGAGGAGGGCGGCCGGGAGAGCGGAGCCGGGGGCGCCCTGGGGACCCCCGAGCGGCGCAAGGGCAGCCTGGCGGACGTGGTGGACTCGCTCAAGCAGAAGAAGCTGGAGGAGCTCACGCGCGGCGACAACCACGGTGGGTGCGGGCGCGTGCGCGTGCGGGCATCACCTGCCTAAGTAGGTCACGCGCTCTCCATGCCCTCCCGCCAACGCGCTCCGTATTCGGGACGCGTTTTCTTAACCCCCAAAAGCCCCCCCCCCCCCCCAAAAAAAATGGTCAAGCGGTCCGGCAAAGCGGCGTCGCTCCGTGAGACCTCCGCGCCAATCGGCCTCCGCGGGGTTGACGCAGGGGGGACCGGTGCTTGTGCAACCGGTGACTCAATCCCTAGCATTGGATTTCGTCATTTGCGCCAACTCCACCTGTTTTCACTTCTCTTGCGTCCTGGGCTCTGCAGTCAGCGGTCCACTTCACGGCAGACAAATTTTCAGCTCGAAGGGTCTTTGGGCTTGGGGATTTCACGAGGGCCTCCTACAGCTGCGTGTGTCAGCCGCAATATGTCTTCAGCTGGCCGTGTGCGCAACGCTAGCCAAAGGGCAGAGCACAGCCAACCTGCCACAATCGCATCAAGCCCTCCAGTTTAGCAGTAAAGGGATTTACTTGAACAATATTGGCCTCCCGAGAAGCCTGGCTCCCTCGACCAGGGGTGGGATATAAATATGTGTGGCGTTACTAAACCATCTGTACCATCTGTACCGGGCTCACACATCACAGACTCCACACAACAAAACCACCACCACGCTGATCAATAATGTAACTGAAACATCCTTTTCATTTTTAACTTTAAAAGATATATATTTTTTCTTTCTTTCAGGAAACACACCTACAAATCATAGCGCATTATGCCAGCAATATTTTGCTTAAAGTGCTAATTTATTTTAAAAAAATTGCTTAGAAATATTGAAAAATAATTCAAACAAAGTATTTGGTGGTGCAGAAACAACACTAGACTTCGTGTTGTTGAATAGAGTGTTGTTGTTTTTGTTGCGATGATGAGAATTGACACGACTATCAACGTAGTGTGTCACTCATCTCAGGATAAGGCAGTCCGTGCTACAGGCAGGGTCCCCCTCCTCCCCACCCATTCTCCCATGAGGCCTCTCAACCCCCCTCTCACTCACAGCTCCCCACTCATAGTGTGTACACACCGTGTACACACCACACATAATGTACACACCACACACAGTGTACACACACAGGGTACACACCACACACAGTGTACACACTAAACAGTGTACACACCACACACAGTGTACACACTACACAGTGTACACACCACACACAATGTACACACCACACACAGTGTACACACTACACACAGTGTACACACCACACACAGTGTACACACCACACACAATGTACACACCACACACAGTGTACACACACAGTGTACACACCACACACCGTGTACACACCACACACAATGTACACACCACACACAGTGTACACACAGGGTACACACCACACACAGTGTACACACTACACACAGTGTACACACCACACACAGTGTACACACTACACAGTGTACACACCACACACAATGTACACACCACACACAGTGTACACACTACACAGTGTACACACCACACACAGTGTACACACACACAGTGTACACACCACACACAGTGTACACACCACACACAATGTACACACCACACACAGTGTACACACTGCACACAGTGTACACACCACACACCGTGTACACACCACACACAATGTACACACCACACACAGTGTACACACACAGTGTACACACACAGTGTACACACCACACACAGTGTACACACCACACACAGTGTACACACCACACACAGTGTACACACACAGTGTACACACCACACACAGTGTACACACACAGTGTATACACTACACACAGTGTACACACACACAGTGTACACACACAGTGTACACACTACACACAGTGTACACACACAGTGTACACACCACACAAAATGTACACACCACACACAGTGTACACACACAGTGTACACACACAGTGTATACACCACACACAGTGTACACACATAGTGTACACACCACACACAGTGCACACACCACACACAATGTACACACTAGACAGTGTACACACCACACACAATGTACACACTACACAGTGTACACACCACACACAGGGTACACACCACACACAGTGTACACACTACACACAGTGTACACACTACATAGTGTACACACCACACACAGTGTACACACCAAACACAGTGTACACACCACACACAGTGTACACACACAGTGTACACACCACACACAGTGTACACACACACAGTGTACACACTACACAGTGTACACACCACACACCGTGTACACACTACACACAGTGTACACACCACGCAGTGTACACACACACACAGTGTACACACCACACACAGTGTACACACACAGTGTACACACACACAGTGTACACACCGCACACCGTGTACACACCACACACAATGTACACACCACACACAGTGTCACAGTGTACACACAGTGTACACACCACACACAGTGTACACACACAGTGTACACACTACACACAGTGTACACACCACACACAGTGTACACACACAGTGTACACACCACACACTGTGTACACACTACACACAGTGTACACACACACAGTGTACACACCACACACAATGTACACACCACACACAGTGTACACACACAGTGTACACACACCGTGTACACACCACACACAGTGTACACACATAGTGTACACACCACACACAGTGTACACACAGTGTACACACCACACACAGTGTACACACTAGACAGTGTACACACCACACACAATGTACACACTACACAGTGTACACACCACACACAGTGTACACACTACACACAGTGTACACACACACAGTGTACACACCACACAGTGTACACACACACAGTGTACACACCACACACAGTGTACACACACAGTGTACACACCACACACAGTGTACACACACAGCGTACATACGACACACAGTGTGCACATTACACACAGTGTACACACACAGTGTGCACATTACACACAGTGTACACACACAGTGTACACACACCACACACAGTGTACACACCACACACAGTGTACACACACAGTGTACACACCACACACAGTGTACACACTACACAGTGTACACACCACACACAGTGTACACACTACAGTGTACACACACACAGTGTACACACCACACACAGTGTACACACCACACACAGTGTACACACACAGTGTACACACTACACAGTGTACACACTACACACAGTGTACACACTACAGTGTACACACACACAGTGTACACACCACACACAGTGTACACACTACACACAGTGTACACACACAGTGTACACACTACACAGTGTACACACCACACACAGTGTACACACTACAGTGTACACACCACACACAGTGTACACACTACACACAGTGTACACACACAGTGTACACACACACAGGCTACACACCACACACAGTGTACACACTACACACAGTGTACACACGACACACAGTGTACACACTACACACAGTGTACACACCACGCAGTGTACACACCACACAGTGTACATACCACACAGTGTACACACCACACAGTGTACACACACAGTGTACACACCACACAGTGTACACACACAGTGTATACACCACACAGTGTACACACCACACACAGTGTACACACCACACAGTGTACACACGCAGTGTACACACCACACAGTGTACAGACCACACAGTGTACATACCACACACAGTGTACACACACACAGTGTACACACACAGTGTACACACCACACAGTGTACACACACAGTGTATACACCACACAGTGTACACACTACACACAGTGTACACACACAGTGTACACACCACACACAGTGTACACACACACACAGTGTACACACACAGTGTACACACCACACACAGTGTGCACACTACACACAGTGTACACACACAGTGTACACACCACACACAGTGTACACACACACAGTGTACACACACAGTGTACACACCACACAAAGTGTACACACCACACACAGTGTACACACACACACACACAGTGTACACACCACACACAATGTACACACCAAACACAGTGTACACACCACACACAGTGTACACACTACGCATAGTGTACACACACACACAGTGTACACACTACACAGTGTACACACCACACACAGTGTGCACACCACACACAGTGTACACACTACACACAGTGTACACACACAGTGTACACACCACACACAGTGTACACACACAGTGTACACACCACACAGTGTACACACACATGCACACAGTGTACACACCACACACAGTGTACACACACAGTGTACACACCACTCACAGTGTACACACAGTGTACACACCACACACAGTGTACACACCACACACAGTGTACACACACACAGTGTACACACCACACACAGTGTACACACACACAGTGTACACATACACAGTGTACACACCACACACAGCGTACACACTACACAGTGTACACACTACACACAGTGTACACACTACACAGTGTACACACCACACACAGTGTACACACTACACAGTGTACACACCACACACAGTGTACACACCGTGTACTCGGTGTGTGTAGTGTGTACACTGTGTGTGGTGTGTACACACAGTGTACCCTGTGTGTGGTGTGTACACGGTGTGTAGTGTACGCACAGTGTGCACACACTGCAGTGTTCCTCGGTCTCATCAAACCTCATCACATCAACTTCACGTTGTGGGTGGTCTGGGAGCCGGTGAAGCGTCGCTATTTAGTTTGCGCGAAGTGTCGGCTGTAAGGTGTTCACGTGAGCGTTCCTCAACACATTGATATCTCAACACATTGATATCTACACTCTGCGTTCGTTGCCTTGGTATTTGACGCTGCGTTGCGTATTCTACACAGGCCACGTTTTCGTGGTCTGTTTGGGCTTTGTGCACACAGAGACTCCTTGCTTCATGTGGCCCCTGGGGATAAACGTTGCCTCGACGTCGCTTGCTTTACCCGGGGAAGCTTCGTGCCGAGTCTCGAGAACGTTTGCAGGAGGGGGAAATGTTGCCGCGTGTGCGTGACCCTACTTGAGTCATTTGCAGGTAACG